TAAAGTAAAGTGAGTTTCACTCAAGTAATTTACAGGTACCATTCATGAATGGTCACTAGCCATGGTCTTTGACTTTATGTATCTATGGCAGGTTATTTCACAAACCTTGGAGTTGACACCTTAAGGTTTTTAAATATTTTTTAAAACAGCTTTTTGAGGTATAATTGACCTACAATTGTACATATTTAAAGTGTACAACTTGACAAGTTTTAACTTACATGTATATGCTCAATGAAACTGTCACCACAATCAAGATGATACATTCACCCCATAAATTCCTCATGCCCCTTTGTAATCCTTCCCTCCTACTCCTACTTCTATCCATAGGCAACCACTGATCTGCTTTCTGTCACTGTAAATTATTTTGTGTTTTCTAGAATTTTGTATAAATGGAATCATACGATATGATTATTTTTCTTGGACTATCTTCTTTCACTTAGCATAATTATTTTGAGATTCTTCCATCTTGTAGTATCAGTAGTTTTCAAGACAGACTCTTTACACACTTAAGAATCGACCAGGTTCTAACTAAAATAAGAACATAACAAGATGCAATCTGATTTGGGACTTTTAATCTTCAGCATTTTAGTCTAGCTAATATGATTATAGCCCACAAGGCATTTTAAACATTCCAGGACTAAGACATTTTATTGTGGTGTGTCTTTGCAGTGATTGCTTCATAGTTACTTTTGAAATTAAAGATCACTTCTTTCTTGAATGGATTTATTCCTGATTTTCTGTTGAATTTTGTAGTTCTTCTCAAAGGAGGGGATTATATTATTTTGTGCCAGTCAGGCATTTTAATTTTAGCTTACCTTTTTGGGCATTTTGCTTTAACCTTCATTTTACTTTATGTTCATGAATAATTATATTTCAGCAATTTACTTTAATGGTAATGTTGGTTTAAGATAGTGAAGCTCTAGCTCTGGAGTAAGATTGTGAGACTTTTATCTAACCTGAACCAGTTTCTACATCAGTAAAATGGGAATAATAAAGTTTTTAGAGGAGCAAGTATACAGTATGTATAAATTACTTAGAAAAATGTTAGAATGTTCAATATGGAATGATTATTACTCATGATAGCTATGAAATCTTTATTTGAAATTATATTATTGTATATTTTCAGTTGTCTGAAACTTTGAAAGTACTGTCTTGCTGAGTTATTGATAGTGGGGTGAATAAGAGCCTCTGTTAAATACTGATAATGAAGGATCAGAAGCCTGTAATAATTTTACTTTTATCATCTGAGCCATCTCTAGTACACATTATTGGTTTGTGTTTTAAAAAATAATTGCAGCTGCCATTTGAGTGCTTACTATAAGCAATATTTTACTCTCAAAATAACTCTGTAGTATAGATACTATTATTCTCATTTGCCAAACCTCACAGTGGTAGAGTAAAAGCTTGGGCTCTGAAAACAATGCACTATCAGATATGAGCTATGCTTTTAAAAATATCGCCGTGTTTCTCCAGGTGCTGCTTCTATACAAACGGCATTTGCCTCATTTTTAATATCTATAGGACTAGCGTTCTCTTTCCACCTCACATAACAGGGCCTCAGCACCTTGTAAACATTGAAAGAATCTTAGTGTGGTCTTAGTTCTCTAACTGATACCGCTGTAGCTAATCTCTGACGTTTTATACCAGTACTAGGCACCTCTGTCTTCATCAGTAGTGAAGAATTGGAATGGAAATATTTACAATTTGCTGATAAATGGGAAAGTCATGTTTTAGATCCTTCATAGTATTTGAACCTTAAGTTACCCAAATTTAGTTGTCTGTCTCTTTAGTAAAAATCATCTGTTTGCCAGGGCATGGTAGGGCACCTGTAGTTCCAGCTACTTGGGAGGCTGAGGCAGGAGGATCCCTTGAGCCCAAGAGTCTGAATCCAGCATGGGTAACATAGTGAGACCCTCAAACAAAAATTTCTTAAAAATAAAAATCACCTGTTTGTACATTTCCTAATTAAAAAGGTAGAGGTGTTTAATATTGTCTATTTCTTTAAAAGCCTTGGCATAGAAGTTGGCAGCCTTTCTGATAGGATGTAAAGTTTTTACTTCTGTAAGAAGTAAATGTGTACCTACACATGTTACAAATTATAGTTTCTTTGGGGTTAACAATTCAGCATTCACTCTGTGCTTGCTATTGGCAAGTAAGATACTATGCAGATGTGAGGATGACTAGAACAGCCTTATAATGTTAATAACAATAGTACTCATAGAATTGCAGCTGCCATTTTATCAAGTACTCATGTGCCAAGCATTGTACTAGGCACTTTACATATACTATTTTTTAATGCTTACAACAACTGTGAGATACACCATATTACCCCTATTTTATAGTTGGAGAAACTGAAGCTCAAAATAGTTTAAAACCTTGGACAAGGTTGCTTATCTTATGAGTGGCAAAACCAGGCTTTGAAGCCAATTCTGACTCAAAAGCTCATATTCCTTTTGCTATGTTGTGATTCTTCAAGGAGTAGTAGGCAATAGGATGGGGTGGGAGAAGCACACAGATTATATTATAGACTATATTATAGAACATAATGCGAATGCTATAAGCAAAGCATAAACAACACAGAAAGCTTAGTAAAAGAAATTTTCAATTTGGGTTATGGGGAAGGTATCACAAAGGAAGTGTCATTTGAACTGGGCCTTGACAATATAATATCAAAGAAGGCAGACATTCATCTGGGATGGTATATTTATGTTTTTAGAGATGGGGTTTCACTGTCACTCAGGCTATAAGTGCAGTGACATGATCATAGCTCACTGCAGCTTCAAACTCCTGGACTCAAGCAATTGAGAGAGGGTGTATTTTAGATAGAGCCAAAAGAATGCAAATTGAGAGTCATTTTCATAGGATAACTGGCACTCTGATATTGTTAAATGGGCCATGGTATATTAGAAGTAGCACTTAGCAGGAGGTGAGGTTAGGAAAAAAAAGGGTAGCTCTGACTGTATCTTTCAAGGTATAGATATAACCCCTAAAAGGTTGTATCTATTAAGATATACCACATGGATAAACAGATTTGTCTTTATAATATTCGGTGGTAGTTTTGAATCTTAATTTGGGGCTGCAGGGAAAAGGAGGTTTGAGTTGGATGCTTGATTAGTTAGTTTATACTCCATTACTATCTTGGAAGCTCTATGAAGGCAGGTATCTATCTTAATTCACCACTACATCCCTGGCATCTAGCAAGAAGTGCTAGTGCCAAGCACAAAATAGAAACTGAAGAAAAAGGAAGATAAAGGAATATTAGAAGAAGAGTTAAGAGAAACCAAAGAAGCTGACTTTTAAAAAATTTTATGTAGAAGTCTCCTGGGTACTTTCATGACAGTAATTTTCCTACTAGAGTAGGTTGTAGAGGCTTGCCAGAGAGGAGTGTGGTATGTTAGCAATTCTCAATCTGCAATCATTGATTTCTCCAATAGTTTATAGTTTAACAAAGTCTCTTCTCAGGCTTCTATTGTGAGAATATTTCCAATCTTGCTATAAAAGGGAGATAAGCCCGGATTTAGAGGCTTGAGATTCAATTAGATTAACAGAAAGGTAGCATTTAAGCCTCCCAGAGGAATTGTTACCATTTATGTCTCTAGGTGCTTGAACTGTTAATATTTACCGTTAATACTTACCTCAGCTAGGTATTAGGAAATGGTAATAAGGAAATGGGAATTTCTACTGTTTTTTTAGGAAATAGACAGCTGTGTAGGTAAGGAACTTGTTTTGTAGGGTGTGGGGGCAGTGTAGTGAAGGGAGAGAAGAGATGAGAAGGGAGGGTATCAAGGGTTAACTCCCTCTGAAAGCTTTTCTAGAACTATCAGGTTGGTCCTGGTAATCCATACTCTCATATATTTTAGTTCCTATTCCTACCAAATTAATTGAGATTGTACTTCTGTATTCTTGTTCTTCTGCTAGACTGAAAGTTGAGTCTCAAGTACAGGGATTGTTTTTTTGATCTTTGTGGCTCCATACATTTGATGTTTAAATGAATTTTGTGCTAAACTGAATGAGGCACTGTTTTAGGTACTTAACCTCTCTCATGCAGCTGACATTCTACTTGTAATGACAGAAATGTGACTATTATAGATTTACTTTGGATTGTTCTAGTGTTCTTTTCCCTGTCTCCACAGGCAATAGGTAAAGTTGGATGTAAATGGAGAAATTGAACCCTACCAGATACAAGTTTTGCCTGGGACAAGGGAAGAAACTTTCCTCTTTCTGTCTTCTCTACTAGATTGACCTTTGCTCCAGGACTCAGCACTGTGGCTAGTTTCACGTTTTCTCACAAGAATTATCCAATTTTTCTGAGCAAGATAGTCTTGAAACCACATTTATAAACAAAATTATGAAATATATAATTTTTTCTATGTACCATTGGCTTATTTGTATAAGCATATAGTTACTCTTATTTACCACTAGACAAGGGTTCAGCGAATAGAAGGTGAAATATTGGCAGAGTTTAAAAATGGGCCACTGACCTGGGTAGTTTCAGTATGCTGTGTGTACCTTAAGCTAATATCAAATAGGCAAACTGTAAAGTTAGGGAACAGGGAGCTGCTTATATAGATCAACTATATCATGGGACAAATAAGTTTTGATGAATTAGGCTGAGAAGCTGATGTCTACTGAGTACATTTAAAAATTTTTAAAACTCTGAATGGAAATATTAAGTTACATCTTTCTCATCCAAGTTCGAAAGTAAGCTTACTCATTTAATGGCTGCCCTCCAGCCACAGCCCTAAGGGCTGAATTGAATGTTTCTTACTCTTTTAACCCTTTTGGTGGAGTTGGATATATTAATCCTATGTTTAAGGCATTTATGTATGTGTGTTAATATTTCCAGGGCGGTACTCTATTATGAAAAATCTTAATAGTGACTAGGTTTTTGGATGACATTATTGCTACAGAGAGTAATTTGAGCACTTTTAGTTTCTATTGATGTTTCAAGAAATGTTTCAAAACTATTTTTAACAGTGTGAAACCACTTTGTTTTTTAGTATCCTTGCCATGAGGAAAAGGATGTGATAAGTTGGCCAACTTATGAAATTCAAGTTACATGTGAATTCTGCCAGGTATGTGTGCAATATTTGGTATTTTTAGCCATTTTTTTGTATTTTAGGTTATAAACATTTTCATGGATTGTTTCTATTAATAAATATTTGGTTTCTTTCATAAGTAAGAAATCACTTATTTAGTATGTAGTTTAGCTGATATTCCTATTGTGTTTTTAAATTATCAAATTAAGAACATCAAAATATACTTAACTATCACAGATATAAACGTTTTAAGGTTTTGATTTCTTCTAAAATGAATGCCAAATAATACCAGTCCCATGAGATGTTCTATGAAAACGTATTCAAATAGCAAATAGCTGTGGCAAAAATGCCATAATCTAGGTGCTCCTCTAGTCACTTTACTTGAGCATATGAAAGGCCCTGAAAAGCCCTGCAAAGAAAAGTATACTTCAACATTTCCCAAGTTTGTTTGGCTACATACCTTTTCCATATAGTACCTACTGATGTCCCTATCGAAATCTTTTGGGAAACATTGCTCTGAAGGGTTAACAAGCTAGTGTTGAAAAAGGAACAATGTTACAGAATTATTAGTTGAATCAAATATATTTGCTATATATAATTTCTAGAAAGAAAGCAGTAACGAAACAAAAACTTACAAGTTGATGGAAGGAATAATTGGGAACTTTAAAGTTGAAATTAAAAAGTAGGAAAATAATCTTTACTCAAAAATGTCTTTTTGTAATTGTTCTATTTAGAGCAGGATCCGAAAAGGTCCTTATGTAGAATGTTTAGAAATTAAAAAAAAAAAAAAAAGATCTAAAACAGTACCTCCTTTGCTCTTCTTTTTTCCCCCATGTCATTTGCTTGTTGAAGAGATCAGGTTATTTGTCCTGTAGATTTTTCTATGTATAGACAGTCTCCAGCTTCCAGTGGTTTGACTTATGACTTTTTGACTTTGTGATAGTATGATGCCTTAAATCTCTCACTCCACCCCTACTTAGAGTCCTGTGAAGTTCAGTCATTTTTAAATATACACTTTTCCCTTGGTGACTATGGGGGATTGGTTCTAGGACCTACCACAAATACCAAAATCTGTGGATGCTCCAGTCCCTGATACAAAATGGTGTAGTATTTGCATATAACCTATGCACATCCTTCCATATACTTTAAATCATCTCTAGATTACTTATAATACCTAAAATAATGTAAATGCTATGTAAATGGTTGTTATACTGTATTATTTAGATCACAATGACAAGGAAAAAAGTCTATATATATGTTCGGTATAGGCGCAGTGGTGTTTTGTTTTGTTTTTGAATATTTTTGATCCAAGGTTCATTGACTCCATGGATATAGAATCCACAGATACACAGAATGTACATATTCTTTCATTTTTTACTGTTTTCTATAGTATGTGTCCTTTTCAAATCAAAGCTTCTCAAAGCTTCTGGCTAAGTTTTCCTGGAACACACTGTATCTGGGTAAAGTTGCCTATTTTTTGGCTTATTTCTTAGTATTTGGTTAGATATACTATTTTGGTTTTTACTTTTTTGCTTTTTATTGAAGTATAATTTACATAGAATAAAATGCACTATGTAGCGTAAAATCTGTTTTATCAGTCTTTTCTTGTGTGGACATTGCGTTTGTAAGAAACCTTTGCCTACTCCAAAATCAGGAAGATTGTTTCCTAGTTTTTCTTCTAGAAACTTTTTCTTTGCCTTTCACATTTAGATCTATAATCTACCGTGACTTAATTTTTAGTATTTCATGAGATAGGAGTTAAGGGTCATTTTTTTTTTAACTTATGGGTACTTAAATTGACAGCATTAAGGCTCTGGAAAGTCCTGCAAAAATGAAGCCCACAGTATAATATGCTTTGGGAAACATTGAACTAAAGGGTTGATAACCTACTGTTGTGTAAAGGGAATATCACACAATTACTAGTTGAGTTGAATACTGTTGCTATGTAAAATTTCTAGAACCAGGGGTTGAGAAGACCACCCTTTCCCCACTGAACTACAGTTGAGCCTTTATACAAATCTGGTGACTTTATGTATGTTTCCATTTTTGTACTTCATTTTGTTCTGTTCCTTTAAATGTTTATCATTGGACTGCTACCATACTATCTTAATTATTTTAGTTTTATAATGAGTCTTGGTGTCTCATAATATAAGTCTTCTAGCTTGATTACTGTTCTTCAAGATTGCCTTACTTATCTTTTGCATTTCCTTGTAAATTTTAGAATCAATTTCTACACACACATGAAACCTGCTGGGATTTTGGTTGGAATTGTACTTTAATAGATTGATTTGGGCAGAATAGTTGTCTTATTAACATCAAGTCCTCCAATCCATGAACATGTTACATCCTCCATTTATTTAGTCCTTCTTTAATTTGTTTGGGAAATGTTTTATAGGTTTTTTTTTTCATGTATGTTATACATTTTTCATTAGATTTATTCCTAGGTATTTGTTTTTAGTGTTATGAGTAGAATTAGTGAACTAGAAAGCAAGAGTACAATTGAGTAAATGAAGCAAAAGATTTAAAATTAGCAATAAAGTGGATAAACCCTTTAGCTAGACTGAATAAAGAAAAAGAGAAAGTTAATGATACTAGGAATTTTAAAGGAGACATCACTACAGATATAGTAGACAAGAAAAAAGTAAGAGGATGTTATGAATAACTATACCAATACATTTAAAGTATAGATGTAATGGGCAAGTTTCTGGAGGACAGAATTTCTACAAGAATTTTAGTTTATTTAAGGATACTGAATTCATGACTTAAAACCTCTCCACAGAGAAAACCCCAGGCTCAGATAGCTTCATTGGTGAATTCTTCCAACATTTAAGAAAGGATTAGTATTTATCTTACACAGATTTTTCCAGAGAATAGAAAAGAATTAACATGACCCAGTTCTTCTTATAAAGCCATCATAACCTTGATACCTGGCGAGGTTATCTCTCATGAACATAGATGTAAAAATCTTAAAAGATAGCAAGTAGAAATTATTGTTGGTTTATCAGTAAGATCATTCATTGTGATTTACCATATAAAAACAATAAAAGAAGAAACAGTAATAATTTTAAGAGATACAGAAAAAACATTTGATAAAATTCAGTGTCTACTTATGATTAAAACTCTTAGGAAATTAGAAATAGGAGGATACTTTCTTAAATTGA